TATATATATATTATTTTAGAAGTACATCGATAGAAAACTCGTCACATTTTAACTAAATAATTTATTTATTTTATCCATTTGTTTTTTCTTTTAACAAAGTCCCATTGTTTTCTTTTAATTATTCACTAGCTAATTACTCGTGCGTGCGCACGAGTTGAATTGGTTCGTATTATTTTATAAAAATTAAAAATTAATAAATTTTTTTAAAAAATTAGTAAAAAAATAGAAGAATTTAATTAATAATTTAGTACACATTAAAATAAAAAGATATAAAATATTTTATATTATATGATTAGATAACTTTTTTTCATAAAAATACTTTTAAGTACATGTAAAAAAATTGTTGTTTATTCTCCATTAATGTAGCAACTGCACAAAAACTTAAAAAAATTTAGTAATTATAGGTTTGAGGTTATAAAGTTTGATATAATTAAAAATTTATATAAATTTTGTACTCACAATGTTTGGTTCCATGGTATCTAGTTTGGTATAAGACCTATAAGCATAGTATTAAAGATACAAAAGTATTGCATAACAATATTTGTACATATGACATCAAATGTTCCTGCATTCACAAATTGTAATTTGTTAAGTTTTACAATTGAACCCTTATATTCTACCATGTAGCGTATATTTTGAGTATTTAAATATCAAAAAAATAAAAATATATCTATATATAGAAATTTTAAAAGAACAACTACAATAAAAAAGTTATACCTGTATATGATTTCGTACCTATTAAAGGTTTTGCAACACTTATAAAAGTTTTGGAAGACCTCCTTAAAAATAACATGAGTAGTAGATATCAATGGTTTATTTTCTTTGTCATGAATCAAGAAGATCTTCAACCCTTGTTTGCTTTAAACTCTAGAAATTGCAACATATGATTGTCCATGAGTAAACACTGACCTAGGTAAGTATAATCCAACATTTGCTAACGATTGACCTTTAGACTTATTAATTGTCATTGCATAGGAAATAATGATTGGAAATTGTCTCCTAATCAACTTAAAAGGCCGTGGAGATTGTGATGGAGACATAGACATGCGTGGTATATAAATCTCATTTCTGTTTGAATTTTCAGACATTATCTTTGCTCCAATGACATGATTAGCTAGTCTTGTAACAATCATGTGAGTACCATTACACAATCCTTCAGATTGATTTAAATTCCTTAAAAGCATCATAGGTGTTCCAATCTCAATTTAATTTTATGATTTGGAAGACCTAATGTTCTAAGAGAATTTAAAAACTTAGGTGTGAGTACATCAAAAGTTTGGCTTTTAGTTGACTCTGAATTCTCAATAGAATCATAACTAAGGTATTTTTTTCATCACCTACAACAATATCAACAAAAAATAGTCAATTAAGTTGAAACTACTATTTATCACTCTAAGTATTTTAAAATGCTAGATTGTACGATGAAAGAAATACCTGGAATTATAGACAACACATATTCATCGAATTGGTGACAATCTAAGATTTGATGTAGATGTTGTGATGGTTAAGCTTGGCCTAGAGTTAATTCCTTCTAGATTTGATAAGTTATGATTGGCCTCAGCAAACTTTTTCAATAGGTTTTCATCCTGGAAATGAACATAAGTTGTATTTCTTCTATTTTTTTAGTAGAATTTGGTGTGCACTTGGCTGTGTGTAGATGTTATTCGAGTGACAAATTTGTTCGTTCTCCCAATTTAGTATGTTGAAACTAATCCAGAAAGTGGAATATTGTTTCTTGATCTTTATTGAGAAAACAACTGTTTAGTTTCAACTCCTCTAATCGATATATTTGCAGTCTTTTCGTGTAGCACATTTTTTCTTTTCAAGTGCTTTAGCAGCAGCTTCTTCAGTTAAATTTTGTTCATTGTCCATGTCCATGCCTATGAGAGGTTTTAACATAAAACAATGTCATAAAATTTGATAATATGGAAGTATAACATTAAGTATAATATATTATTACATAATTTGTCACTCAGACTTTTATTTATATAATTAAGTATCTTAAATTATGATTTCTTACCGCATGATTGTTGCATGATTTCTACTTATGAAGGTAGAGATCTGCTAGATTTCCTCCAACTCACACAAACTGTTTAATATTTACTACACTGCTTTATAATGATGTTGATGGATCAACTGGGAAATTATTCTATTATATATTTATAATAAACATGTTTTCATAAGCTAGAAAAATCACTAAAATAGTGTCAATGCCAATCAACACTCTTATATCAACAACATTTATTAATTATGAATAGAAATGATCAATGATGCTAATAGAAACCATGCCTATAAGAAATTTAAACATAAAACAATGTCTTAAAATTTGACAATATGATACTATACTATTCAAATATGAAGTTAAAGTAGCATTAAGTATGATTTCTCGCTCAGACTTCTATTTATAAAGCCAAGTATCTTAAATGGTAGGTATATATATTGCTAAGGGATGAGTTGGAACTTATTGGACATCAATGTCTCTAGTAGTGACTCAGATGGAGTGGTAACTTTAAATAAACATGCCATTGAGCTTGCAAACACGCATAAATAATTGTTAATGTTTTCATTCAATATTAATATGAAAGTCGAGTTGCAAGTAAATGCAAAAAGATCTAATAAATGGAGATGAAGATTAGTGTAGCTAGAAAGCGATGGAGATTAATGCATGTCTCTTGAACAAGTAATAACTACATTTTGATTTGCTAATAAAAAAATGTATTGGAAGAAGTAAAGCTAGAGAAGATGAAATTTTGGGGTCTTTAAATAAACCTGTCACTCAGTTTGCAAACACGCATAAATAGTTGCTACTGTTGCCATTTAAGATTAATATGAAAGTCGAGCTGCAAGTAAATATAAAAGGATCTGATTAATGGAGATGAAAATTAATGGAGCTGGAAAGAGATGAAGATTAATGCATGTCTCTTGAATAGGTAAAAACTACATTTTGATTTGCTAATAAAAAAATGTATCGGAGGAAGTAAAGTTAGGGAAGATGAAGTTTTAGGGTCTTTTTAATCTTTGGTAGAAGGTTCCATGTCACATCAGTCATTTTTATCATCTTTTGATAGCACATGTTTCAAGATAGAGCTGAGAACAATAGTGACACCATATTGGCTAAGGCTACTTTTGTATATGGTGATGCCCGCAAGCATGTAGAAAAGGAACGTGAAGAATTAAATACCATGTAATTAAGCATTTCTCTTTTATTCCATTTTATGACCATACAGATAGTTTGTTTAATATAATATATGCATTTATATACACCTTACTATCCAAATTTTCTTGTTAGTGAATATATTATGTAAGTTGACTTATCTAATATGTTATTCAAAATAAGTGCGACATGTGTGTTTGATTGTAGTTACTTTTGCAAATTAGTTACTATAACATAAATCTTATGATTTAATTAAGTTAATTTTAAAAAAGTTAAATTCAGTGTTGCAAGTGTGAGCAAGATAACCTTAAAGAGGTGACTCCAATTTTTATTGTTATGAGAATGTAACATTAATTTGTTTTTAAAATATTAAATTTAGTAGTTTATTTCGATAATGATTAACATTCCCCTTATTTCTTTACCATTAAAGATTATTCACTACTTAATTTGTTCTTCAAACTAAGTGTGACATGTGCGTTCGATTATAGTTACTTTCACAAATTAATTAGTATATCATGTATCCTATGATTTAATTGTTATTTTTAAAAGGGTGAAATTCATAATATTGCAAGTTACAACTCTTAGAGCAAGATAAGCCTAAAGAGATGACTATAATTTTTACTATGACGAGAATGTAAACTAATCTATTTAAAAAAAAATTAAATTTAATGGTATATTTCCTTATTTCTTTACCATTTAAGAGGAAAAAGCTTTTATTAAAAGAAGGAAGATCTTTTGTGATTGACATATCTTTTTATTAATAAATATTTTATTAGAAAATTATTTAAAAATATAAAATATCTTTAATCTAAAATTATATATAAACCTAAAAATGTAGACACGTGTCTAAAACTAATAATAAAAAAAACTGTAATTTTGGTAGCCTATTCAATAGATTATTTTTATCTTTTGGAATATTAAAACACTTTGGAAATTTCTCCTTTTTTATCGACACGATTTTGTTCTATTGTTAAAAAAAAAAAAAACTATATATCACTTCCTTTAAAATGGGAATTTCCTTGACGATAATTCTCAATACTTGGGAGAATAAAAACATCAAGTTGAACTATAATTTTCATTTTATATTACAAGCTCCTTCAGGACCTTCACAAACAAAACACTATAAGTTTCTCATTTTATGTATCTATATATATATTAAAAAAAAATATCAATACGTGTAACTTTTTTTAATTATCACTTTTTAATAAATCATTATACTTATCAAATATTAAGAAAATAATCACTTTTCATATTCTTTTTAAATAATTATACTCAATCATTTATTTCATTATCTCTTTTTTATTTTATTTTTAAAAAGTTTAACAGGGATATAATGAGTTATAGTATGAGTTGTGAAGGAGTAAAATAATCTTGATTTTCTACTTTTTTTATTCGTATTTTGTATATTTTAAAATATATATTACATTTTTAATTGATATAAATGAGATATTAAATAATTTTAAATTAATATAAATTTTGTATGTACAACTTAAGAAAAAGAAACTTTTAATTTAATAATTTAAAAAATAATTATTTAATTATAAATTATTAAATAATATAATAATTGATAAAAGTTATATAGATATTATTTGATTATATATATATATATATATATATATATATACTCACACATAAATTATTTAAATGGATATTTTTATGTGTTTTTTCATATCAAAAATGAAATTTCATTTTGAAATATATCATGTGAATCATCAATGTAGATTTGCAATTCTATAGGAATAATAACATTATAATATTTAAAAATTTACACCTAATAAAATTTTGTTCTTTATTATATGCATAAAAAATTAAAGCATGGGACATGAGTTCATACTCCCCTCTCAATAACACTTTGCTTATAGAAGGTCAAATATCATCATCTCTTATCTTAGGGTCACAACAACATGCATGTATAATCTAAATATTCTTAATTATTTTTTATTATCTTAATTTTTGACTCTGCACACCATGATTAATATATATATATATATATATATAT